ACAGATGTGTGTGAGAGCCCACTTTCAAAGTTTTGCTCCAAATTCAGATACTCCTAAATTACTACTGTATGAGCCCTTCCCTTTGCTATAGTGAAGAGCTTCAGCTTTTAGAAACCCTTGTTGTAAGACACATTTTCAAGTCCTCAGTCATTCAGTGAACTCCTTTCTGAAAACTCTTAATCTATTAACATTGTTGTTGAATTGTACACGAGGCCAGGACACTTTTAAAACTGAGACCAGTTACAGACTTTGTCCATAGTATTCAGAGTTCCTAGGTTCATACACGTGAGAATTCCTCTAGCCCTTTTGTTGAAGCAAACATTTTCTCCTTTTGGGTCATCTGCCTTGGCCCTCCTGCAGACTTGCTGTTTCTAAGGGCTCCATTAACCTGTGAGGGTGCCCTGCAAGATTTGTTCTGTGATGAATGACTTTACTTTTGGCTGTGCTGAAGTCCATATGAAAAATTGGTTGCTTGTGTGCAGCTTGCCAAGCATGTCACATTGCCCCTTCTCAGCGACCTGATTTCTTCATTACTGACCACTCCATCATTTCATGTGACTTTGGGTCTGTCCCTGCTCACAGGGCTATCTGTGCATTTCACATTAGATAAAATACATAAAACAAAAAGGAACAAAGACACTCCTGTCCTACCTGCACTCCTGATCCACAAGGCTGAATCACATTTCTTAGCCTTACTTTAATTTTGGGTGCCTAGTAGAGGTAACAGAGCTGTGGAGGAGGACCTCTAGCTCATCTATCTTAGTTAATGAGCAAATGCCAAATTTGCGAGGCCTGCCCAGCCACACCAGTGGCCTGTAGGCTAACATCAGCCCAGGAGATGTCACTATCTGTCTCATTGTTCCTGAAGGAGATGGGAGTATCACCAGAGCTGTTCCTGTAGGGAGTCTTTCTAAATTACCACATGAAACCTCCTCATCCTGCCATAGCCCAGACTACAGAGCAGCCTCCACTCCCATCACCCTAGCCCCTCACTGCAGCAGTGCAGAAAGCTTGTTTGGTGGCTGATGATGGATGAGGGTGGAGACAGCTGTTTGCTTCTGGGGATGCTGCCCGCTCCTGGGGGTTGTGCCACCAGTATTAGGTCCCAAAGCTGATAAAAGTGAACTGCTGGTTATTTTAGAAAATATTGAGCTCCCCTACAAGGCACAGGACCCTGTCTGTGGTGTTCTGCATTAAATTTAATGCTGAGGTTTATTCAATCCACTCACTAGACTAAGCCCTTCAGGAGACCTTGGTGCCAGGATGCCTAATCTGGCATGACACACAGTTGTGGGCATTAAGTCAGTACTGGGACCTCAGCAAGTGTGAGATGGTGGTGAGTCTGGGCTGCACAGAAGCCCAGGCATGCTGAAGTCTGATAGTGAGGTACCACGTGAGTTTGGGAAATGTCAGGCTTGGTTGCAAGTGTTTCAAACAACTCAAGCAGCTCCCCACCTTTTCCCCCGCCCTAGACACCTGTATCATTTACTGGATCTAGCTATGGTGATTTTGATTGCAGACCCCATGTATTGTTTCCAACCACACTGGGGTTCTACTTGCTCAGTTCTGCCACCATCCGTCCCTCTTCAGCCGCTTTCCATCACTGCAACCTTTTCTCTCAGAGAGGTTCTACTATTTGAGAACTTTGCCAAAGTTTAACCAGTCATAAACACAGTGAGCCAGGTTCTGATCTCATTTACTTCTGCGACCTTAATAGAGATCCTCTGGACTTGTGCTGATGCACATGAGAACAGATCCTCTCCCATTTAATTTGCCCTACTGCATATTTGCTAAGTGCTAACTGCATAGTTGGCTCAATACAGAATGCAGAGGACAAAAAGACTGATGCCTACTAGGGAGCTGTTACTTACCTGATGCTGCTGCCTGGGCCGTTTGCACGGAGCACTGTAGTCAGACAGTGGCTCCTCCCACAGTGCTCCTACACCAGCTCCAAAATTACAGAGATTATTTTTTCTTTGAACACCCTGCTAACCTCTAGCTGTCTTGCTGACTTGCATGCAATCAGATTTAAATGTCAACATGATGTTAATATTTAACAATTATCATCAGGAGCTTCTCACACCTCTTCCTTAGAAGATACAAAGAGGCCCAACGCCTACCTGTTTCTAAAGCCCTATCATCAGTTTGAAGCAGATTCAGGTGATATATTGCACATTTATCAGTTATTATCACCTGCAGTAGTCCCTGGAACAGGGTTTCCCTAAAATATGCTTTCCCTGGGCGTCTTCCAGATTTATCCCATTGCTATCTCCTCACGAGCCAGAGAGAGCTTGTATTGTGCAAAACAAGAAATAGGAAAAAAAAAAAAAAAGAGAGGATAAAAAATAGCCTAAACGATTTAATTTCTGTTTTAATTCCAAAAATACATGAGGCCCCTGACATTTCTCACACACGACTTCTTTCTCTGCAGTCTAAAGAGGATATATTTTAAATGGTACTGTTAATGGAATTATATGTTGCTGCTGGATAATGGTCTGCTGTGGAGAGATAATTGTTGAGGCAAAGCTGAGGTATTTTTTGAAGATAAACATTGAGGTAAAGCCAAGATGTTTATTTTCTAAGCACCAGACCCTAATACAGGCAAAACATATAATATCATTAGTTTTATTACTAATGCATTGGAAGCCTGAACATGCCCCATCACAAATTCTTGTTAACTTGGGGGTGGCAGAACTGGGCCCCAAATGAGAAATGCACCGGGGCTGATCCAAATGCTGATGCCAGAGGGCAGCTGTGTTTACTGTATCATGTGTTGCCCCTCTTAGCTGGTGTCTGTCCTTCTCCAGCCCAGGGAAGGGCTGCCTGGAGACCTGACTGCTCACAGGTGAAGCGTCAAGAAGGAGAGATTTCTTCTTCATTGTTTTAATGAGAAACTGAAACAAAACATTTGCTGATTCTTCAGCTTTGTTTGAGGTAATGAAACCATGGGAGACCAGCCTGTCATCAGACCATTATTTTAAAGTTTTCAAAACTAATTTTACAGATACCTGTGGATAATTCACGCACATGCTTTCCTCTGAGCACTGGTGAAGTACAGGTCCATACAAGCACGTGGGCAGCTTCTAGCAAAAGCAAGGCCTGGTTCCATGCAGTAATGGAGAAGGACGGGCCCTGTGCTGCACCTGGGCGGTGTGTGCAGCCGCTCCTGCGTGTTTGGGTGCGGTGGGGCTCCTCTGGGCGCATGCTGGTGCAGGTTTTCTTCTGTGCATGTCCTGTGGAGGCTGAGAGTCGTGCCTGTGTTGGCTTGTAAGAGGGAATCCCAGCAGGTGTTGGGTGCCCTTTCGTCCTAGCTGTATCCACCCTGCACCTCGCAGCAGTGCTAGCAGGGTCCCAGCCTTGCTGTTCACAGTGGTCACTGTTTGGGCACTGACTTTGATAGATGTAGAAAGCTGAACTGTCTCTTTTTCACCATTCTGCCCAGGGATGGGTGCAGGTCCCAGGTGTGTGAAGGTATCTAAACACCTAGCTCCTATTGATTGCATTAGTCATCAGGCACCTGTATACACCCATGCGCCTAGGCATAACTCCCTAAACCCATTCAAAGAGGGCAGCAACATGATTGATTATTGTATGATCTGAACACATCGGTTTCAGGTTGGCTGTAAAGTGAATATGTGCACCTACAGAAAATACGACATGTCACTCTATTATACAGACCAGAAAGACAATACAAATTTCTTACAATTATTCTACTTCTCAAGAATATAGCCCAGATCCTTTTTTAAAAAGGTAACTGAAAATTAGGCCCTAATGAACCTATCTCAAGTGTGTGACCTGATTTTCAAAGGTACTGAGCATCCAAGGTTGTGTATCGGCATCAGCTGAAGGAATAAAAACTTCTGGAGCCTCCACCCCTTTAGAGAAATGAAACGATTTCCAAACAGTCCATCCTATCCACATGCATACTGATGTATTAAAAAAAAAATGAACCAAAACAAAACAACAAACCAACAGAAAATAACAAAAGAAGAAAAGCATGTAGTTCTCCTTTATTTGGACTATGACGGATGCTTCCATTATGACTCTGTTATCAGCACTTTCCTTGCTAATCCCAAATCGTAGCATTGTCCTGAGAACTGCTGATTTGGTTCATCCTGCTCTTGCAGATTAACTGCTGTGTAGCCATGTGTAGTTCACTACTGACCTGCTGTACTCCTCAGTGACCTGCTGCATTTCTCGTTCTGGCTGTTTTGTGGGTTTCCACCAGTAAACCGGGCACTGAGGGAGATAGTGACCCCCAGGGCTTGCCCTAACCCACTGTCAGGATGCAGCCAGGTGTCCTGGCAGAACTGACATGGAGGGGTTTGCCATGGCACAGACCTGCCCTGTGGGGTATAGCCAGTCTTACTGGGAGCTATGCCTTCATCCTAATTGTTTGTAAGGCTCTTTATGTAAAAGCTTATAAAAAGTTGGCAACCACAAAAATGCCAAGGTGTCATGGTTTAACCCCAGATGGCAACTAAACACCATGCAGCAGCTTGCTCACTCCTCCCCCCACCCGGTGGGATGGGGAGGAGAATTGGAAAAAAAGGTAAAATGCATGGGTTGAGCTAAGAACAGTTTAATAACTGAAATAAATTGTAATAATAGTAATTGTAATTAAAATGAAAAGGAAGATAACAAAAAAGAGAGAGAAATAAAACCCAAGAAAAGTGATGCATAATGCAATTGCTCACCACCCATTGACCAATGCCCAGCAAGTCCCTGAGCAGTGATTCGCCCCCTGGACAACTCCCCCCAGTTTATATAGTGAGCATGATGACCTATGGTATGGGATATCCCTTTGGTTAGTTTGGGTCAGCTGTTCTGGCTGTGCTCCCTCCCAGCTTCTTGTGCACCTCCTTGCTGGTGGAACATGGGAAAGTGAAAAATTCTTGACTTGGAGTAAGTGCTACTCAGCGACAACTAAAACATCAGTGTGCTATCGATACTATTCTCACACTAAATCCAAACCACAGCACCAGCTAAGAGGAAGAAAATTAACTTTATTCCATCTGAAACCAGGACACAAGGGAAAATAATATGATTTATGCTTTTACAAGTGCTATGAGGTAAGTTAATTACAGAATAGTGTATTTCTAGCTTTTCCTTCAGTTTTGGCAAACTCCCACAAGAGCTATGGTTTTGATTTTAGTTCTTCACTGAAGAGGCCGTATCTGACAGGTAGATATTAATTATTATTACTTGTATTTTGATAATGTTAAGAGTCTTCAATAAGATAACAACAGTGACCATATACTCATATACGTACAACCATGTTTGTCACAGACTAGCTACAATTGTCAAAGAAAACTGGGTGGAAGGATGTGATGTACAAGCAGAAAAAGCTTTGAGAATTTACAAGTGTCAAGTTATTCTCAAGATTTTTTCATTAAGCTATTACTAAAACTATTCATATATTGAAAGAACAAATTCACAAGAAATACATTTTGAAAATAAAAGCTGCATGGGAATTTCTGGTAGTTATCTGAGTTTCAGACTTATAACTGCTTGTATTGTGTTATCTCTCAAATCATCAGCGCCTGTCATGTATTTGACAATACATGTCTTGTCAAGTCAAACAGGCTTCCTTAGAAAGAAAGAGATGATATTATTGCCCAAGCAGGATTCTGTGTGTTTAATGCCGAGGTAGTCAAAGCTCCTTCAGGATCTTACAAAATACAATTCACATGATGTTTTTCAGAAATTAGCTTTAACTTGTTTATATGAGTAAATGCATTTACAAATAAAGACATAAAGGCAAGTTGGTTTGCTTTTGAGAAATCTCTGGATTGTTTGAATGCCAACTACATCAATGAACTCCAGTAGATTTGAAAAGGAAAATTGTAATTATTGGATTACGTGGTGCTATAATATTCAATATTATGGTAATGAAGGGTGAATTAAACATGCTACTGGATTGAGGAACCCCTGCCTTCTAGTCTCAGCTTCACAGAGGCTTTAATTGGGTATTTATCAGGAGGCAGTTGGATATGTATTAGGGCACTTATGTAAGTACTCTGACAACATTTTTTCTAACCCTTTCTGCTACCATACTCCAAAAAGCAGATGTGAATCTCGCCCTCTACTCCTGAACTACATACATGGAAAAAATAAGAGTAAAACCAGTTGTCATTTTGGTGTGACCAATGCACTATAATATAAATTGTTTTGATCTGTCACTGTTACAAAAACTGTGCTTCAAGCAGGACAAATGTGGAGATAATTTTTTCAGTCCTTCCTCAGACAACATTGGTTTCTCTCATGGATGAAAGATGGTGAACAGCAGAAATAGCATGCTAGCTGGAAGTCTCTATCAGGGGCAGCACTGCACTTTTCTCTTTCAGAGTTTTACCAGTTTAAAGGATATTTGCACACTCATTGACCTCTTCAGAGTGTTTGCTGTTTGCACATGCATCCTGATCTTCCCATAGTTGATATGGCAGTATGTTCTGTTTTACACAGCCTCCGCAGCACAGGTATGATAACTGTGTTTTGCAGTGGTGGTGGGCATTCATGCCATGATGTGCCCTGCCAGCCACCCCTCAGGGGTGGGCCTTCTGCAGCAGTCTCTTTTGATGGGATACCAGCCCACACATTTCTTCTTTTTATTATTGTTCGAAAGACAAGGTCAAATGCAGTCGGAGCAGGAAGTTCTGTGGTTTGTGGTGGTCTTTAGCTCCTTGGAAAGTTCATTCTGCAGATTCAGAGCTCTAAAAAAAAAGTTCTAACTTCTGCCCAAAAGAGTTTTTTCTTACCGTAGTGATTTCTGAACCTCAGAGGATTGTGGCTGAGAGCACCAAAGCTGATCCTAGTCTTCACTCTGCAACTTTCTGTAGCCTTTTGTAGTGGCCATGAAGAGTCTCAAAGATCCTCAACTATGCTTGAAATGCCATGGATGGCCAGGGCAGAGAGTAGGGGACGGGTCAGATTCATTTATAGCAACCCATGCAACCTGCTACAATCTTCTGTAGTATCTGGAGTCTGGTATCATGACATGCAAGGTGAAGAAGATCATCTCTGCAAACCCCAGTCATGCAGGGTGTCAGGTGGAGTTCTCTCACCAGGGAGGGAGTCGGGCAAACACACCCTGCAGAAGCTGCTCTGTACGATTATTGTCAGACAGGAGTTCAGGGCTACTACCAGATTACAGACAGACTTAGCCAATAGTGGGCTCGTACCATTAGCTGTACAGTGGCTACAAACTCCTCAAAAAAAAGATTTTCTCCATTTATCAGAAACTTCCCTTTCACTGCAAGTCAACTTCAGACATCTGTTCTCATACACACAGAGGCTGCTGATCACAGCTAAGGTCAATAGGCATTTTGGTGTTGATCTGAGTACCCTTTGCATATGCTGTTGTGCTTTTTCTTCATCAAGGCATTAATATAATGCTTGCTGGTTTTGAAAAAAAGTGAGCCCAGCCCAAACATCAAAAGGACTTGTAGGTGCTCACCTTCCCATGGCGGTTTGCTTGTTGAACGCAGTGATCTGTGCTACACTGTACGTGACCATATTCTTTGTCCTTAACTTCTGCTGGTTTGCATATATGAAACAGATCTGAAATCATTATGATTGCCGTAATTCTTCCACACATTCCTAATTGCAGAATTCAAGTTTCAGTTAAAAAACCCTCAATTCATACTACAGATGTTTTCATGATTTATATGTTTTGCTCTGGTGATCATAGAATGAGGAAGATGTTGAACGTTCAAGGAGAGGGAATGAAAAGAAAGATGAATTAGAGGTGGCAAGAGGTGAAGGAAAAGAAAGGACTTTTATGTCTGTCTTCAAGCAGAAGGTAATTAATTGATATTTACTAGAAAAATTCATAACAGATTTTAATTTAACTTTCACAATCTTGACAATAGCAGTATTTACCAAGAGGAGGGGCAGTCCCCAATGCTATCAAATTTAAGCCTACTGACAGGAGTGACTGGGTTTCTCACTTACCTGTTGTGAAAATTTCGGTCACAAAACTTTTTGCTCTGTGTCTCCTTGGGGTTTGAAAAATCATCGAATTAAACAATTGGCAAAAGTGACTAGCAAAGTGACTGCAAAGTGTGGAAAAATCTCGTCTCCCCTCCACCTCATGTTTTAGCCCATTCTCCTGAGTTGCTGCTCAAGCTCAGAAGGGAAAAGGAGACTGAAATAAAAGCAATATCTCTCTAGAAAATGCAACTTGTTGAAAATACTGCTCTGTATTGTTGACATTTTAAAACACTAGCAGGGGGCAATGATTTGGACCCATTTGTCTCTCTTCAAATGAAATTATTGGTAGGATTGTGCCAGCATTAGCTGGTGAATTCTTCTAAGCAACATAAATTGATGGCAATGACAACATTCCAGAAGGCTTATTTAAAATATAGAGTGTATTGTGTAATTCTTTTTATTTGTCTGTTGCACAATATATTTGCTGATACTTGTTTCTTTCCCTCCCTCTCTCTCCCCCAGGCTATCAAACAAAGCTGCCCAACCTTACACTCATCCATCAACCTTGAGTTATTAAGAGAATAACTGCAGAACATTTACAAGTGGATGGGATGGAGTGCTGGCTGCTTTTCAAGAACACAGAGTCAGTGCTACAAAAACTTTGCAAGATGGCAAATTTTCTCATGCTGCTAGGACCTGCTAAAAGGAATGGTTTCTTGAATTTAGTGTAACTAATCTAGGTTGATGCCAAAACTGTTAATCATATAATATCTAGTACCAGATCATAATTTTATATGGGTAAAAAAAAATAACTATTTCTTACAAAGGCTTTGGGATTTATTGGAAGAAAGGAAGGTAGGGATCAGGATAAGTACAGACATCTGAGGGCTTGTGTTATATGACTTTCTCAAGGATAGGTTTAAAAAAATCAATGCATGAAAGTAGAGATTAAGAGATTGTAAGTGTCTCACACCAGAAGAGTAACAAAATGAAGGTAAAATGGATCATGCTAAAGGACTTTTTCTCACTGATTAAAAGACAGAGGTTGTGATGGAGTGGAGTTGCCATGTAATAATCTAAGAATCTGATCACCAATTTAGGGTGTGCACAAAGACATCTAAGTTGGTCTGGTACAATTTACTCCCACAGCTTGAAGAGCTGGGAAAAACAGTACAGAGGCTCCATCCAAGCCAGCACTGAACGAGACGCAATACAGCCCTGAGTGCTGTGCCAGCTGAACATGATTATTCTGCCTCTCAGTCCCACTTGGCATATCTGCATGGTACTTTGCTGTGCTGTGTGGACTTGCCAAATCAGCTCAGTGCTACCTTGGGGCTCTCTGCATCATGTTCTCTGCAATGTAAATGTACTCTTGGAAATTAAGCTAATCTGTTTGACTTCTAGAGGGGCAGGAGAATGCTTCCTGGCTAGCTAGCATTACTCTAATTAAGTGGGACTGTGGGAAGAACAAAACATGTCAGTCTGTACAGTGACTTTCCAGACAACAATATCCCGGCAGGCACTGAAAATCTGATCCCTTTGAGCATCCTATATTCTGTTCAGTGTAAAGCTTCAGGCTCTACTTTGCTGGTTTAGATGTTTACAAATCCAGAGATCAGCAAACAGTTAAGAAGCTGCTCCCAAGAGGGAGCAGTCAGCTGTCAGGAGCTGCCAATGGGCACAGGACTATGCGGGCAGAGGCTCTGGAGTCCAGAGAAGCAGCCATCAGAGTCAGCCTTAGTGGGAGGCACACAGACAAACTCGTATAGATAGCATTTTTGTTGTGGGTCCATTTTCTCTGCCTTGCCTTTGTTCCAAGTAGATCAGGCTCTGCTTTAGCAAGGCCGTTTGGTGATGGACACTGCTCTGTTCCTGGAGGCAGAAGAACTGAAGATGAGTCAGGACCATGAGGTCATCCTGGCTGACCACAGGGAACTGGAGCCTGGAAGAGTCATGGGGCTCTGCGGCAGGAGACATGGAAACGGGGGGCCTGGCACTGGGAGAGGGGGCATCTGAATGAGATCAGGAATGTAATTAACACAATTATAATGACAAACTTTATGAACTTGAATTTTTAAATTCTTTTCTGTGTCAGTTCAGGAGTTGTCCACAAACCTTTGTTTACAGTCCCCACTAAATGTAGCATGTCAGAGGGCATTTAATATCAGGAAAAGTAGCATAGGTACACTACTAAAATGTGACTAATTTTCAGCAGCTCCCACGCTGTCTGCGCCTTGTCCACTCAATAACACCATCGCTTGGTGACTCCACCCTGCATGCACAGCAATTAGATGGCTTTTACCACTCCATGTTATGAATGTCCTCAGCAATGGTAGCACAGAGAGTAACGTTAGGGAGCATTTACCAAAGCTGTTGTTTGTGAAGAAATATCACAAATTGAGCCACCACAAATACATGAAACATGGAGCGTAAATTCCTGTCATAGCTTTTACAGGAGAGGGAAGCTGAATGAAAACTGATGGTTCCTCCACCTCTAGCTGCCCTCTTCTCCTCCCTTTTGTCAGTTCATTTCATATCCTCCCTCTGACTTTTCTTCCTACTGTGTGTTGCTGTGATGTGCATCACACCTGATACCACCCAGCCTTAGCACCCCCCTGCCTTGCCTTCTGGCTCTCCTTTTCTCCCCTTCTCACCCTCAGTGACTTGGATTTTCATCTGGAGACCCTATCTCTTTAATTAAGCTTCCCTCTTCCTCCCCTCCTTCCTGATGTGGCCTTCGATTCTGGCTCAACACTTTTAACAAAATGCCTGGTTATCAACCTGATATTCATCAAGCACATTTCCCTTCTTGTTTAAGTCTCCTTCAGCACTGTGCCTATCCTTTGCTTTATATTTGGTTCTTTCTTACTCCCAGGCCATGAAATCCCTCAAAGCCTTCTTTGCTCTTGATCTACCTCTTCAACGCTTCTCTTTGAGCTTCTGTGTCACGCTGACACAGAGTGCTCACTATAACCCTGACCATGGTCTGAGGAACAATGTTGTCACATGAAGAAGCACTAAACGTTCATAAAGTTCACCCTGATTTTAGGGGCAATTTCCAGTCTCCTGCTGGCACATCTGGTTCAGAGAATAATCAAGTACTAGTTGTCTACTTTCAAATCTTTCTTCTATCTGTTATTTCAGGTCTATTCCTAAGCAAAACATTCCTTCCTTTTTCCTTACAATATGTAGCAAGCACACCTATTATGTTAATTCTTCTGCTCACTCTTTGATTCCTAGGGCAAACAATCTGCTCAAGCAGCCTAAGAGAAATCCCCCCCATTTAACCCTCCTAGGTTAGCACCTACTCAGGGACCACCTTCTTAGACTTCACTTCTTTTCACTCTTCCCTTGTTGGCTTCTTTGTCAACCAGCTTCATGCTATCATCTCTCATGTTGCAACCAGTGACAAGCTCCCTGTTAAACTTTATAAAACTGCTCCCTTACAAATCACTCCTTGTGCTTCTCCTTTTGTTGCTGTTGCCTCAATAGCAGTCCCATGTAGCAGTGCCTAGAAAGGCAGAGAGGCATATTCTTTTCAGGACAAGCTGTGCCAGGCAAGAAGAGAGCAGCACATTTTGTTTCATCCTTTGAAATTCTTAGGATATCAAAAGGATCTTATACTGATGTTATTTTCTGTTTATTAGTATTTCTTCTTTCTCCATACTTTTTCCCATCTTCCCCACCCCTGTGAGGTCCAGAGACATTATCATTGCATCCCATATGGGCCAAATCATGCCGATAGCCAGGAGGTGTGGCTAATCTGGGTCACACAACTTTCACTTGTGTATCTAGGCCATCCAGTCCTGAGTTATTTCAGGTAATGAGTTCAAGATAAATCTCCAAGCCATTAAGAAGACAATATCAGTTGCTGCTGTGTTGTTTTCTCTGTGAACAGAATTCCTAGGAGCATTGATTTCCAAGCTGATATGAGAAGGTTGGTTTTTTTTTTTTTCATTGTCTCATAGACTAGAGCAGTCACTTTCCATGCCAAACCAGGAGCGGTTGCAAAAGTTTCCTACAGAAGGACCATTCACATAAAATAAATGCATCAGGCACCTGTAAGAAACAGAGTAGACCATTCTTGAAAGAAAAAACTCTCAGTTGACATCTTGGCTGGAATTAAAAATCCTGTTGTGTGATGCTGAAAAACTTCAACAGCCTTCTGCTGAAAATGGTTTAGGAGAAAAAAAAGTTCTATTTCTCTTTCTCCCTCCCTTGTTTTTAAGGTGAATTTAACTGTGCTAGAGGGAGCAAAACTGAGAACATTATAGGACAATGACACAGTGCTTTTTCTGAGAGCAAAACCCATCTTGCTGTCTATCGTTAGTGGGTACAATCCATCCTCAAAAAGCTGGTTTCTACAGGTCACCATCAGAACTGTAGGCTCACAACGACTTACCGCCACTATCAAACTAAGTGCATTAGAACCATGAAACACTTGAACATAAAACCATAAATCTTGATTTGCTATCATCAGTCCCCTGAAGTTACTGGTGCTGATGGAACGGTTCTTTTAAAACTGTAGACCAGCTGCTAAGCTAGTATAAATCAGCATAGGATGTTGTGAAGTGGAAAAACATTGGTACTGCTTAAAGGTTGTTTTAAAGAGATCAGTGAGTAACTAAATGTTTAACATGCCCACTGGGAAGTGTATAAAACAAGAGTCTAGTATGCAGAAAAGAAGATTCAAATTATATATGAAAAAAAAAAATATCTAGTGGCTAAGCACCAGACAGGCTATGTTGCAGATCTTCACTGGAGGTTTTTAAGAACTGATTAGACCAACATCTGTCACTCATAGACAGATTCTGCTCCGGTAGAGGGTCTGAACTGGATGTGCTCTGGAGATCTCTTCAGTGCTTCCACAGCACAAAGAAATGGACCTCAGAGTTGAAACAGTTATGGGATTAGCAAAACACCTTTGGCTCCTCGCTTCCTGATCAAGACAGGTCAGAAGATTTGCAAATCGGTTCAGTCCCATGTGTTAACCTCTGTGTTATTCAGCCAAAGTTTCTCAGCCTGCACTTGATTTCTGAGCACAGCTAGAAGAGACAGGCAGTGCACTCTAATCATTCTAACAAATTCACTACCAAATGTTAAATCATTCCAGTAAAATTTTAATATTCCTTTTCCTGCTAAAATGAGCTATAACAGCTATTTTATTTTGCAGTTAACTATACTATATAAATATATAGTTATTACTGTATAACTATATAAAATATAGTTATAAAACTGTATACTGTAGTTACTTATTAAATAGCTATAACAGCTATGTGTGGGTTTTTTTCATAAGGCATTTTACAGGGTTAAAGCAAAGGAAAAACTTCCATTTGCTTCAATGGAAAATGCATCAGAATTAAAGGGAGAGTATTAGTGTATTTTGACATAAATTAGTTTCGAGAGTAATTGGTAGGCACGGCAGAGACTTAATGGTATCATATAACTGGAATTCACAGTGTACGCTCTTCCAGTGGATGTTGCTAAGCATGTTACAGCAAAAAAGATAGTCTTCCATCCTAGTCTGTCCTTTGTTCTATTTTAGTAGTGCATGAGGTAGATTTTAGTGGCTCTCTTCTGTGGGATTCTCTGTGCTGGTTTGCTCAGTCTCCTGCTTTGTGTGCAGTTTAAGGATCAATATGAGAAGAGGGACAGGACAATTGTACTTTGAGAAGAGCATCGTAGTTTCTCCACACACCTGTGTTGTTCAGGCCACATGAGTGGAACTGTTTTGAGGCAGGAAAATGCTTTACCATGTAGTGCAGTTGAGACCGAGACCAGGTTTGTGCAAAGGTGTTTCTCAAATTGTGCCTGTGGGATGGGTTGTGCAGACACCTGCAGTCTCAGGGGCACTTTTCAAGGCTAAGTGCCATGGCCTGGTGCTGGAAGAATGGGGAGAACACACTGTTTGTGCATTAGGAAAAGAGCAGGCCAGGTCCCTTGTGAAGCCTAGAGGGAAGCCTCCCACTAACCCACCAGTGATCAAGGCCAGGTACAGGTACCAACACACACCAGTGTGCTTGCGTGCTGTATGACAGCAGAGGAAGTCCAAGGAGCAGAGAATAGTGCCTGTCATAAGCACCCAGAACACATAATGTAGATTCCCAGGTTTACAGGAAGGCACTTGAGCCTCTGGTTTTTGAGATTGTTAAAAGGAACCCAGTGATAGTTGGCCCTAACATTTTTCTGCTAGATGGTTATAGCACCAACTGTGCAACATAAATTGCCAGGCCAGTTAACTCAATTACTTGCTGGTGTTTAGGGGGGTGGTTCTACTGGGTGGCAGAGCCAGCTGTGGACCAGCCACGCTTTCTGGTTTAGGAGGAAGGTCACCCAAGCACAGCTCCATTGCTTGCAGAGCCAGCTCCGGTCTGGCAGCAGGTTCACTGCAGTTCTATTGAGGAGTCTGAGGATGAAAGTAACAGCTCAGCTGAACTGAGCTCACCAGCTTTAAACGGGGCAATCCCATTCCTTCCTTATTCCTCCTCCCTCACTCTCCCAGTCTCCCCTATCTTCTTCTTTTTCACTCTGGTAATAATAAAGCCTTTACCTTAAGGATCCGTGCTGAACTCCAGCTGACTATGTGCAGAGCCACCTCGGGTCCCTCTGTTGCTTTCCTGGTACCGGGACTGCAGAGTGGGCACCCTCACGTCTGGCACTGCTGGCGTTAAGCCCAAATGGTAAATCCAGCCAGATCGCTGAGCGCTGAAGAGAAGAGCGTGTTTCAGAAAAACTTGACTTGCTCTGTAGTGGGATAAGTAGGCTTGTTATCTCTGGCCACGTGCCAGTGTAGTTAATGCTGTTTTGTCTCTGGGTAACACCATCTGGATGTCCCTGTGTCACCCTCTCTGGTACCTGTATTATAGGGCTCCTGCCATTGTCTGGGGTCTTCCAGCCTTTCTGTTTCATCCTGTAATTTCTTTGGATTATGCCACTTCTCCTTAATGTATACTGTACCATTTCAAAGGAGGAAAAATAAGTTTTTACTCCATCCTTGTAACTTCTAGTTGGAGTCTCAGAGGGTACAGTACAGTAAATTGTCATCTCCTGGCCCTCAATAGTAAAAGAGAACAAAATGTACCATGAAGAGTTCACCACTGAGAAAGAACAGAAGTGCGTGGAGATTCAGGATATTTTTAAAAATGGAACACCAAAAGAGGAAACTGTGAAGTAGGAGTCTGGGTGTGAGAAAGGACTACAGCTGATTTTAATTTAAATGAAATTTTTCAGAAATTTGATTTTTTTAAAGTCAAAATGATTCCAAAGCCATATCACTTTTGTTAAGAAGAGTGGCAGACAAAGTAACTGAAGAAGTAGTCACACATCATGCTCTGTGATGAGATGACTAGGTAATTTCCTAGACTAAGATTCTGACTCATTCTGTGCTTTGCTGTAATCCAAGTGTTCAAGGATGGGAGGATTCTTAAGTGAGCAGCACAAATGAAACTTGGATGGGGGGATATTAGAAGACCAATGCTCTACTCACATGTGCCTTCCAAAGTGTAAAAGCAGGAGGCTTAGTCTGCAAATAAACGTCTCAGTACTTTTGACAGAAGAGTTATTTGAAAGGCATGATTTTAATCTCTGAAGAACAAAAGCAAAAGTCAGATTTCAATACTTAAACATGGTCACAAACAACTTAGGTGTCGCTTTTAGTCCATGCTAGTCTTGTCATGGGATTGCAGTAATGCTCTGTTGGAACAAGTCTGGAGACAGTAATAAAAAAGTGATAACACATAGTGTGTATGGCAGAAAGCAAAGGCTAAGTGGGTAGAGAAAGTCTGGGGTCAGAAGCTGGTGGAGTTAGAGGAGGTTGGGTTTTTGCTCAGTCTAGACCTGGTTATTTCTATTAGTTTGAGGGATCTGTCAGCTCCTTGGGGTCCCTCTGAAGCAGTCTGTGGATCTCATGGGCTATTTTAGCAATTAGGGTACCAGGACTGCCTCTGGTCACACAACCAGGAGTGTGTCTGGGAAGTACCAGTCCTGCCACACATGTGCAGATCAGCTCTGATGGGAAAATGTATGGAAGGAAAATTCCCACTGAAAAAAAGTGCATGGACAGCATGGATGGAAGGGCACCATGGCAGGATAGAAATGACAGTAGGATAGAGGGTTTAGCAGGAGAGAGAAGAAATGGGGTACAGAGAGTTTGAGATGGTGGCATAATGCCCCAAATGTGTTTCAAGCAGAGCACTGGATATGAGCATGAAAGCCCAGAGAAGCTGTAGGTGTGGAAACTGGCTGTGTCACAGGGCTTGAGGTTCAGGAAGGCATGTCGGGGGGGGCACCTGTCTCCAGAGCAGCAATCCAGGAAGGCTCTGTGCAGCTGCTCCCTAAGCTTGGGGCTGCCTCTGCTCACAAGGGAGGTCCTGGCATGCCCTGGGCACCTCCAGCTCTGCTTCGCTGCTCGGCCAGAAGCGCCGCAGCCCACATGGCTCCATGTTTGGGTGATGGAAGGGCGGGATGCAGGAAGCTGGCGGCTCCCGGCCCTGCTCCCTCGGGGCCCGTCCCACCGCCTGTTCCCAGAGCACACCTAACGCCCACGGATGATGTTCAGCTGCCTGCAGAGCTCAGCAGGGGCCAAGCTCTTTGAAAACATGCCTCAGTTATGACGGAGGAGGTAATGGGGATGGCACTACTGTGTGTTTTGGTTTTTTTTTTTTTTTAGTTAATGGCGCGGTGGTTAGGGTGCCTGCCCAAGGAAACCTCAATATTAGGTCTTCCTCAGCCTGGAGAAGCTCAAGCGTACATTTCCCAAGAGAGCAGACTAATAAGCAGGCAAGCTGTGGGAGGGGAAGAAACTTGGAGCTTGTTGTTGAAGCTGGGTCTTGGCAGAATAAATTATACATGACTCAAAGGGCCAGGAAGGGAGCAAACAGGGGCAGCGTGACTCTAGCCTGGGGCCTGCAGCAGAGCTGAGAAGGGAATAAAGCTTGGCATATCCTCAGCTCCACGGCTGTTTCTCCATCTGAGCCCATGCAAAAGACAGTCCAGCACCAGATGTGAAGATTGCCTTTCTTAGAAGGAGACATTAACCTTTCACCACAGGGCTGGGCTCCTTCACATCCCTCAGCCTTTTTTCAGAATCCTTATTTCTCAGAGGCTGCAATAACCCACTTGAGTTAAGGATGGCACTAAAGATAGCTATTTATTAGGCAAGTGCTTTAGCCAGCAGGATACCATATAGGACTTGGGTACTGGTATCACTGCTGTCCTGAGTTTTAAAAGAAACTGCAATCCTTGTTTTTTCCTTTTTGAGTAATTGGTTACAGGATTTTTTTTCAAGAGAGACTTGTTGGAGATGGGTTCCAAATAAGTTAATATTCCTAACTGCATTTCTCTGTGAGCATCCCAGACTCTGAAGAAGGGTTCACAGAAACACAGGATAATGTAGGGCAGAAGAGACTGCTGCTGGGTGTCATCCAGTCCAACTTCTTGCTCAAAGTATGATCAAATACAGCAGGTTGCTTAGGGCTGTGTCAAGCTGAGCTTTGTATATCTCCAAAAATTGAGACTCCACAACCTCTCTGGGCAATCTCTTCCAGTCTTTGATTAGCCTCACTGTGAACATTTTTGTCCTTGTATCTAGTCAGAATTTCCTTCGCTGCAGCTTGATGTAATTGCCGTTGTCCTTTCACTGTGCGCCGCTGAGGAAAGCCTGGCACCGCCCCACCTTAGGTAGCTGATGGCAGGAATTAGGTGCCCCATTGCCAGGGTTTTGCACTGGCACAGCTCCCTGCCCAGCATTGCCATTCAGAGGGGCCTAACCTTCCCTGCATGCTGCAGCTCAGCAGCTAGCACAGCATCCTTCTGTTGGTCTGGGGGAAAAACCCTCTTAAGTTTGTGCTGGATTCAGCACTGTGGTGGGCTAGTTATGTCATATCCCACTGAATTTTAATTTATGGTCTCTGTTCTCTTGCAGTTTCCCCAATAACTGTTTAAATCTGCAACATTGCCTGAGTCAAGAATCCTATGGAGAATGCCCAGCTACTATTTTTTATTGAAAGAAGCAGATGCTTTAAAGCAGGTAGTGTTGAACAATTATAAATCATCCTCAACACCATAAATGTTTTCAAATATAAGCAGATACTCAGGAATTAATGTACAGGAAAAGAGAATCTGTTTATTTTGCTGTCACTTTATATAGCTAAACAATTTACTGCTTTGTTTGCACTGAGATATGTGTCCTTTGTAGGTAGCAGCTGTACACCAGCTGTGTGTGTAGTTCCCTCTATAAAGATTATAGAGGGAACACACAGGCTGCAATGTGGAAAAGGAGTTTCTTTGATTGAGTAAAGATGCAAAATATGTGCTGGACATTGTCCCTCTATGATCCATGCAGAGATTCCTCATCAAATTTTGTGTAAATGGGACCACTTAGCTCCATTGCCTCTGAACGGGTTGCCTGTTTATTTGGTAAATGGACCATGGTTTCAGGAGTGCCTGAGCTGCACATAGGGCTGGAGCAGATCCAAAAAGGTCTTGACTGAAGCTGAGCTAATGAGACCCAGTAAACTCATATTTGCTATTTGTGGACACTAAACTGGTGTTTTGCAGGAGCAGCTTAGGTCTGTCGAGGGCTGACTGTACCACCCAGGACCTGCCATTTTAGGGTGCCTCAGCATCCTGCTCCTGGGCTGGGGAGACCTGCAGCAGTTTGGCTGCCTTTGAACCTGTCAGCTCATGCATTTACACACTGTTATGTTTGAGATAAAAATCCTTTTCCATTAAAATAATTTAGTCCTTTTCTGTTAAACTTCCCATTTAAAGTTATTAATGATTATCCATCCCTGTGACCAGAATAGTGGAAAGTTGACTGCATGGGCTTTTCCCTGCTGTCTCCTAAGCTTTGACCATTAAAAGAAGCTGGAAGACTAAAAAAAAATCAAAGGAAATATGCCTCTGTTAAATGGGAGGCTGGGGCTTGGTGAAAGTAGCAGCAAATCACTTAAAGATAGCGGAGCTGCTCGTGAGAGGAAGAATTTGAGAGTGGGAGCCTAACAAGATAGGGGACTTTGTCACTCCTACCAAGCACACAATGTGGACCCCCAAGCAGAAGCTGGCATATTGCACATCTCTACTACTGTGGAGTTTTCCAGCTGTCCCACATCTCGGCAGCGCCTTGCCTACTGCAGGGTGCTCAGCCAGATCCTCTCCTTCCCTTCACTGCAAGGTTAATAGCCAGTTTCTCTGCCAGGTGAGTCTGCCAATGCTCACTCCCAAATGATTTTTATCGCCAGTTTCTAATACTTTGAAGAATAAGATGTATTTGGTATGATTTAAAAAATAAAGTGACCAGAGATTACCAGGAATGTGAAAATGACCAGGCCAAAAAGCCCTTGTATACGCATGGCTGAGAGTTACAAACTGGTGGTGAAAGCAAGACAATACAGTCTTCGTGACAGAAAATCCATCAATAAAGTGCTTCTCCCTGTCTGTTTTTTTCTTCCTTTCTCTAACATGGGTTAACTTGTTAATGTTTGCTTTAATAGTTTTCTGCAGGATTTATCAACAGTGGATTAAAGACAAGATTATAGGGCATGCAGCATTGGTTTGCTTCTTGTGGTATCCAGTGGCTGCTCTATACTTAAGGCATTTGCAAGACCAGGTCTAACTAACAACATATACAGGTGCTTGACAGCAATCTTTTCTTCAGACTCTCTGTCTGAGATGATTCAGCACTGGAAGATGCTGTCTCTAATACTGCATTTTTCTTCTTGAGCCAGAACTTTATAACTCCTTAAAGAAACCCAACCCCATATTAATATAACACACAATTACAAATGCTCCTACCTGCCATACCATGCTGAATGCATTCACAATGTTAAATTAGACTCTGTGGTGCTTTGAGTTGTTGCTTGAATCCTGTGTGGTTCCCTAGAGACATCAGCCCTGCTGTTAGAGACAGCAATGCCCCTGTACAAGATCTAACAGAATCTACTATCCTCTTCTACTGTCATCTCCCCCATTCCCGACATCTCAAACTTGTGCTGATGAACCAGAAGTCTGTTGCCAAACATTCTTAGGAATGAGATTGGATAAGCACACTCACTTGCTGACCTGGAGAACCTCCTTGGAAAAATATCTCAGGAAAATGAGAATAGAATATAGGATAGGAAAATATCTTTTTGGCAGTAAGAGCAAACCTATACTTGTTGTTTTGTTTTTTTTTTTTTTTTTTTTTTGTTTTTTTGTTTTTGTTTTTTTTTGTTTTTTTGTTTTTTTTTTTTTCAGATAATAAACTTTTAATGTGGCATTTGCATGGATTCTTCTGCTATTCTTTTCTAAATTAAACTGTCACCTGTGCAGCTTCCTGTACCAACATACATTTGCTTTCTCAGAAAATATGTTGGGTGCTGAATACAATTCAAATATCAGTTTAAGAAAACAAAGACTCTTAAAAAAGGAACTGAATGTACAAAGATATGTGTTGTAAGGCCACATTCTTTCTAAGGGTAGCATCTAGGCTGCTGATGACACATCGGTTAGGAAAATAATCAGCCACATCTCCAAAGAATGTTTCCTTCTTCTGTATTTGTTTAATTCATTTGGGCCTACATGTAAATACAGGATTTAAGTCTTTAAGTCTAGAAGACCAGCTGAGAAATCTTATTTCTTTCACTTCATTTTTAAAGTCACAAAGCTAGGGCATCATGTTTTTGTTTTATACTTTGCTAGAGGACAAGGAGAACTTTTGTGGGCATGGTATTTAAGAAAGTGAATCGATTTCAAGTAATTTCTGTTGAAAGTTGTGATGAAACATCCCCAGATGCTTTCCCTGTGTGCTGATCCCTGCTATTTCAAAAATAATATACCTTGAGCCAAAGGGCTGGGATACCTGCTAAAACAGTAATGTGTTCTTTTTTACCTAGATTTTAAAAACAGTGGCAAATTCTGAATATATTGTCAAGGGTTAATTTCATATCTCCTTGGAGCCTCCTAAGAATTTTTGTCCAGATCTGAATGATGATCTGAATACTCTTAATGGTTCTGTAGCACCTTCTCTTCCCGCCCCACCCCCCTAAATATTTAGGTTGCTGCCAAGCTCTATTTTGTTTTCATTGACTGCATTACTCCTCAAATTTCCTTAATATGACATGTGGCATGTGCTAATGTACCCAGCCTGCACCCTTGATTTCAGCCAGGAAATCTGCCCTGCTCTTCTCTCAGACTCTCTCCCACTGCAGAGGTGCCATGGCTGCTCAGGTAGCAGTTGCTGAGCTGCCATAAATTAGAGCCAGGTGTATTAAGGGAAATGGAAATGGATTCTGGTTTCCTCCAAACTTGAGTGGTGAAGGAGCTTCATGTGCTGCTGGGCTACCCCTGGAGCAAGAGGATGAGCTGCCAGGAGAAATCCAGGACAGAAAGCTGGGAGTGGAAACCACCAGTGTTGTCCCAAGCTAAGTCATCATCACTAATGAGTCACATGTGTTTAATGATGCTCATTTGAAAAAAAAAAAAATATATATATATATATGCTAGGTGTTCAGAGGCAATAAGGATGAAAAGTTTTAAAAAATTATGTAGAAGTTTAGGAAAGAGTTACCTTACTACTCATGTGGAAGCTGGAACCACAGCTCGAGTTAGAAATGGATGAAAGCTGTCTTTTTAATTGTTTTGTAAGACTCAAAAAGGAACCATTTAGGGTATTTATCTTCTTTTTCAACTTGTGAAAAATTTTGCACACTCAAAATAATAGTTTCTCTTTTAACAAGTTCTCTTTTCATTAAGTGTAAGAAGGTAACTGCAGGCAGGTAAAGCTTTTTCTTCCCTTTCACAACAAGCAAAGGTGTAAATTTTTTTAATTCTACTGTAACTCTTCTTAACCTTCTCAGGTTTGTAAAAATATAAGTGGCAGAAAGGAAAGGAAAATGGAATTAACAGATGTTACTCTGTCATTACTCAGAACTCCTCCTGTTCCCATAGTAATGCTTCCAAAGATGTGGAAGCTTTGAGAGGTTGAAGAATAACAAAGCAGGGTGAGAAGAGGGAGAAAGAAAAGTGGAAAAACAAACAAAAAAAACCCAAAGAAAAGTTTTTTTTTTAATACTAGTTTTCCTCCTGTCATAGTCTAATGGACACTAAGGAAAGAAAAGCCTCATAATATTTGGAAAATCTGAAATAGAGGAATGTCTCATAAGATTATTAAATATTTTTACAAAACTATGGGCTTTTAAAGGACACTTTTATTAAAATTTCTATGAGCCTAACTGACAGTTTATGGTCCTAATAATAAACATAGATCAGAATAATTTTTGTTCTGCTCATGCCTTTCCAAGTGTTTTAGAGTTCTGTTAGAAACTTACATAATTGTGCTAGAAGGTACAGGTGTATCTCTAAGATATTTTCCTGATGCAGTTGACAATGATGAGTGGACCCCAAAAGTACTGTATGTATGTTATTTGATACCAACTGTTATGTACTGATATATATACATACATACACATACATATCTGCATGCATATATTTGTACGTATGTTTGTGTATGCATGTGTATGAAAGATGTATGAACTCTCTAAATCAGAAATTAATGTCAGAAATTACTACCTGTTTTAGGCAGCTGAAGGGAAAACAGGTGTCAACCTCTTTTTTTCTTGTTTTTCTGTCTTTCAGCTTCTTGCTTTGTGGTTCTAGGATGCAAATCTGGGAGAACTGAAGAACTTCAGAGATTTGAGAAGGTGAGGGTTTGGTTTTACTTTGTTTGTTTGTTTGTTTTTCCCCAGAATTCTGAAACAAAGTTCTGTGTCTAATTATTGAGAATTTTTGGGGGGAAACTGTGAACTCTAAGCAACATCTGAGATGGCTATATGCTGCAATAACAAGGTATATTGTGAATTAAGTGTAGCATACGGAGTTGTATTTGGAACATCTCATGAAATTACCTTTCCAAAAACATCATCTTAACCCATGGAATAACCCAGTCCATATTTGCAGTCAGTATAATTAATTCCTATTGCTTTCAGAAAGTTTTGGATAGTTAAAATATTCAGTTGACTATGCAACTTACATGCAACTGAAAACAAAGAAGGGAGGGGAAAAAACCCCCCAAAACTTCAATGTGTGGAAAAAAAACAGAAACAAACCCCAGCTGCAATCAAGTGCCTATTTTCATCCTCACTTTTTCTCTTTGTTCTCACATTGGCTGGCATAGAAACAGCCTTGGCAATGATGCAAAGTTTTGTTTCTGACTTTTGAAGCCAGACTAACATCCTCAGTCTTGGAAGATAACATCCTCAGTCTCTTATATATCTGTACCTCCTGAGAAGTTTTTGGATTTGAATATGAGGGAGTCAAGAGCTTGAGAGAGCCTGGGATGCTAGTGAGTAAGGAGCCTCTTTCACAATATTTCCAGTCTAACCTGAAATGGATGGTACCAGAAATTGCAGAGGAGAGCCTACTCCTAAGGAATTTCTAGGGAGAATATGCAAATGGTGAAGTTTAATTTGTAAAAGACTAGAAAAGGCCTCTTTCTGTGCATGCTCTATGCTAGCTAGAAACCATTCAGATATTCCTGCTATCATTTCAAGACTTGCTGCTGTTCTTTTTTGACCTCCTTGTATTTCTGCAGTTCAAAACAGCCACACTCTTCTTGTAGTTGGTATTAGAGACTTTTATGTCCTATTCCTGTTCTTTTCCCTTCTGACAGCGAGCAGAGGTTTGCACTGGCCTGCGGAGGAGGTACAACTGCTCCTCACCAACCAGCCCTGGACTCAGGTGACCTGGAATACCATGGGTCTTTGACAGGATTAGTTCCAACACTCCTGCAACTGATTTAATATCAGCTGAGCAGCTTTTTCTTAAACAGACCTGGTATTCAGAAATCTTCACACTCAGCTTTATCTCACCAAAAATTGCCAAACAGAGTGGCCTCTGTACTGCCTGAAGTCAAGCCCTAAGGGAATTAGTACCCACACCTGTGTGAGTCACTTGTGACCTTCTTGTGTTGGGATAATGTTGATATCTGGTACCATTTATTCACCCCTCTCATGAAGGTGAATTTTATAAATACCTGAGCTAATTCCCACTTTGTTGGGAGGAGCTTCTGTGAGAAGAAAGAAGAATAATTAGAAAAAATAAGAATTACAGTTATCTATGGAAAGAGAGCTCACCTTTGGTCCTGCGCACAGTAGAATATATACCTGTTTTTCAAGCAATGAAGAACAACGTCTCTAGAGATGAACACCAGCCTCTGGCAAAATCCCTTTTCCTTTGTATTACAAACAGCATTGACTGTAACATTGTTCCCGAGGTGAAGTTTTTAAGGAAGGCACCAATGGTAAAATAGTTAAAATAGCCCACTGGAAGCCTGGGGACGGGACTTAAAATTCAATGGGGAGTCTGAATAAGAAACAGTATCAACCTTCTTGTCAACCCGTACTTATCAATGGCTGGGTTGCTGTATTGCATCAGCTGGGATTTCTTCATTGTATCAGGTGCAATATACTGGGAATCATGACAGGACTGGATGCTATGGTTAAGTCTGGGTGGTTTTTTTTTAAACTCAGTAATAGAAAAGGCCTATTTTCTTGCAGGTGTTTGAATTCCTAGGGTCAAAGGAAAGCTGAGATGCATGACGTTTTGATGCCTCAAAGGCTGCAGCACTATGAAAAGTTACCTCTTTGTCAAAGACAGGGAGTTGCAGTGATTCTATGATGACTTCTCTAACAGTGGAAAGACTGGGAATATGTAAGGAATGGGTCAAGACAAGAGAAGAAAGATTTCCCTGTTAAAACACTGTCCTCAAAAACGACAACGTCTTTGCTCTACATTGTCAGCTTTCTACATGCATGAGGTTTGAATCTTTTCTACTGAAATGTGTCAAATGCAAAGTTGTTTTGATGGAAGAAAAATTTATTATATTCTATGGATGTTTATTGGTCTTCATGAAGAAAAACCTGAGGGCAGAGTTGGTATAAAATGGTGAAAGTCAGTGATGACAAATCTGTTTTCCTGTTCGATGTTTTTAAGAAGTATTTATAAGAACAGATGGTGGGCAGCAGCAGAACATGTTCAGTTTTATCAAGACATTTGGCTAACAAGCACAGACTGAAATGCATTTCTTTCCTTCTTGACTTAATAATTTTAATTAGAGGCAAAAGGTGTGGTAGTCTCATTGTCTGGAGGCGTATGTGCAATATTGTCTTGGTTGGGCAGGACTGGGTGGGAGAGAATATCACTGCCTGTAATGAAGGGTGGTGCATATCTGTGCAATCTCTATTTTTTTTATTGTCTGGTAATCTAAAAAACGCGAATTCCAAATCTACTATTGCACAACACACATAGAGATACACTGAGGCTATGCTTTCAGTTAGAGAACAAAAGCATGACTGCAAAATGTGTGCAAGTAATACCGTGCCACTGGAGAAGAAAGTCTTTTTAACAAATACTGGGACATACATTTATTATCTTGAGGGGAAATTTTCAAAGCTACCTATGTAACTTAGCGGTCTCTGGAACTCCTTCACTATTTAAATGCTTTTGAAAATCTCACTTATTAACTAGTCATTTTGAACTTCATATACTCTCTCCCTAAGGACATCAAAGTGTTCTGGAAATAATAATTAAGGCTCATATGCTCTAAGCAGGTCTAATGGTGTTCTCTTCATTTACCCTACTTATCTCTGGTCATATTCTAGCTTTTTTTTCAGAGTTGCTTGCACAGGTGATGATGTGCCTTTTGTGCTTTACCAGCTCACCAAGCCCCAACCCAGAGCTGCTTGTCCTGGTGTCGCACTCCGCAGTGGGAGGAGAGCAATGTACCAGTATTGGGCTGGTCCCAAAAGGAAACGTTGAAATGAGATTCGTACCCTGAGCAAACCTGGCACGACATTCTTACTGTGTGTTCCCTTTCTTGTGTTCAGGTTATGAAAATATTCAAAATGTCTTCATCTCACAAACATGCATTTGTTAAGAGCTGCGTGCTTCTAAGATTTTCTACAAGAAACTAAGATGTCTTCATGCTTTGTCACCGTAGTCCTCATGAAGGTGGCTGTCTGATATATCCACCACAAAGTAAGGTCATGGTATTTATGTAGAGTACTTTCTAACTATAAATCTGCCACTAACTTCAGGTTTTTGTTGCACATGATCATAAAACTTTAAACCAATAAAATAATTTATTTTATAAGATCTTATTAAAGGTTTTCCCTTGCTGACTGAAGTTCACTTCTTGAGAACTGTTTTAAGCACTGCTATCAGCCTCCTGGCTGAAAAAAAAAGGCAACGCAGCTCTATCAGTCATTACTTTACTGCCTTTTAGTCATTACTGTTTAGAAGAAAGTTCAGTTCACCGTATAAAGCTATCGGTATTATGTCTCTTTATGACTAGAAACTTGCTTTTACATCCCTTGTCAGTATAAATCTCTAAGACTTACAAGAAGTGGCAGGCTGCGCTGCACTGCATTTCACCGCTGCCAGGAGGGAGCGAAGCCTCAGAGGGAGGTGCAGGCAGGAAGGTCCGTGCTGCCCGGATCCCGCGTCCCAGGGCAAGAGGTTTCCTGTGCACCACTGGCGTGGGAGAACTGAGGTTTTGTTCCCCAGAACAGCCATCAGCCTCACACAAGTTGCATCAACCACTTAGCAGGATTAATGTTCTAGTCCTTATGGTCTGCCAGGTAAATGATATACAGTCTGTGTAGCGTATCACAATACATATGTGCCCAATAAACCATGGTGGTTTGTTACATAATATATATACTTTCAAACTTTAAGTACATGGTTAAGTTTTGGCAAGGGGGACTGATAAAAAGCCTGATTACCAGATATGTCAGAGTAGTGAAAACAAAATAATCCAATTTCCATCACTTCCTCCTTTCATCGTAGGCCTTTCCAAATATCCGATACATGACTGAACCTGGAGGAAGAGGCAGCCACATTTTCTTGTGATGACAGCGCTTTGGGAAGTGCCAGTCCTTGATGGTCTGCAGTAAACCAGGGACAGCAAAGGAATCAAGGCCAGCCTCTGAAAAAGATATATGCACAATATTCTTAATATCAGGCTGTCTGCATTTACCAAACGATCACAATGCTGTATGGCTTACCTGTCCTGGCTACCAAGTTGTTAAAGGAAAGTTGGAAAATGATAACAGAAAACAAGCTAAAGACAGATCAGAAAGTATAATAGGTAAACACAACAATTTCAGCCTTATTTTACTTTGCTTGTTTTGTGAGGATACTATTTAATGTCTGTGTATTAAGATGTGTATAGGCACACATACTTGTCTCTCTTCAAAGTTTATAAATGTTAAGCACAATGCCATCAAGATCCTTAGTCAAGGCAAGTTGCTTTGTGATGCTAGATCAGCAAACCCTGGTGAATGACAGCAGATGAGCATCTCATCCTCTGAGGAATTGTTATGGGTTGGTGGATGCAACTCTAGCATTGCACTAGGTGCAGAGGTGGAACTGAACTCTTCTCTAATGTGCTATCCCATGGGCCATGTCCCTTCTGGGAGGCACAGTACCACTCTCCTCTGAGAAAAGGGATTTTACTTGTGGAGAAGTAATACCAGGCTTACCTCTCCCTTCTTCCGTATCTGTACTCAAGGAGCACAGAGCTAAGGAGTCTCCAATAAACTGTGCCACTGTTCTGGGAAACCCCTAATTATTAACAAATAAGGACAGCTCTTTTGAACTATGTGTCTGTTGGTTATATTTGATTGGAAAGGCAGGTCAACGTGTTAAAACAATTTAAATTTCAATAAAATAATATTATTTCATGTTTTAAAAGGTTTAGGGTACCTACAAGGCAATTTTTTGGATGGAATACTGTTTTACAGACACCATAGTCTATGTTTCATGGTTCTTCTATTTGTACCTGCTTGTAAGACATTGTAATACATAAAATAGTAATTGTAGAGATTAATGTAGATATCTGAAATCTAGACAGGCAAACCCAGGTTCAAGTACAATGCGTTGCACGTAATTTAAGAAGTGATGATGACATTTTCTGGCCTGTGTTAAGCAGGAGGACTGAGTAAAAGTTGCTTTTGGTGTAAAGACCCCTGGATTCATGATTCTCGACAAGGGCAAATTTTTTGCACAATGTGTTTTCTATACATGTTTTGGAGGCCTGCTTCTGTAAGCAGATAACTTCTGATTGCTCCTATAGGCAGACTGACATATATGGAGGTTTGTAGATCTGATCTGAAAGGGCACAGCTGCTGCTACTCCACTGCCTTGAGAAGAGCTACTTTGGTTTACATGTGGTGAGGTGCTGGCTCTGAGCATCCAGCATGCTTCACACTATTGGTCTGAGATGAAAATGTAGATTTTGCTTGCTTACAAGGGTAGGAAGGGTGTATCTCCCATAGGGTGTGTCTGATTGGTTATGTTTCATAGAAGTTGTGTACTGTTTTTCAAAAGCAAGATAAATGGTTTACTAGTAACAAACATGTCTCACCCCATCTAATCACCTGGAGTAAAAGCTGTTGAAAACAAATTTGCTCGTTCCTGTGTGGCAAAGTATCAACATCAAACCTTAACCTTTCCTGAGACTACAGAAGTCTTGTAATCACTTGTTCTTGTTGCTTCTTTTACTGATTGTGGCCAAATATCAGTAAATAAATATCTTCCTGACCATAAGCTGATTTATAGGTAAATGAGTCAGATTTTGCATGGCCTCCTTCCCTGCCTTTCTGCCCTTAAATTGAGTAATATACCACTCTGCAAATAGATCCACTGACTTCACACCACCGTTACGGATGTGTCAGGTCAGCATTGGGTGCTTAGCTAATTCACATGTTGCTATACAAAAGGCAGGGCATTACCTGTAAGTTTATTTTATTTAAACCAGAATTAACACGAGCCAGCTGACTTTATTTTAGGCGATATAAAAATAATGCAAGAATGACAATAAAAAAGCAAAGCACTATGTTTTCCTCATTTATTTGCACAGATGTAGGGATGACCTAGAATGTTTAGCACAATGGATATTCACATTTTGGAGGGATGTAAATTCTGGACTTTGGCCTTTCTGCTGTTGCCTGGGGCTGACTGGTGACATGGGTGATGGATCTGTCACAGTGGCTGTCTGAAATGGGCTGTGGAGCATGTCCTGCAAACTGTTAGCTGTACCTTGGCTACTGCTTGGTGGGTTTCACAGGGGGCTTTACTCCTTCCACTGCTTCTAAGGAAATACAAAGGCTCTCAAGTACCTTTTCTCCAGCCACCTGCCTTCCAAGGTGCTGGACTCCTGGAGCTGCTCTGTGGGAGTCCAGTGCTCCAGCTGTGCAAGATACCCTTTTGGAGAGCTTCCCAGATCAGTCCTGAGACCAATGGCTTGAAACCAAGCTTGTTGTCTCCTTTCTGCCCCATTCATTCCTTCCAGACAGGCTGAAAGGAGGGCACAGTCAGCAGAGGGTGGTGCCAATTAGGCAGTTTTGGAGTTAAAGAATTCCTGTCTGGCTGCATGTTGACAAGTATCAGATAAAGGAATTGTCTGTGACTTGACAATGAACCCTACATAATGCAGGGAAGGAGGACTTCTGGCATGGGGAATGCTGTGCACTCACCTGACATCATCTTGGAAAGTGTTCAGGAGTGGGATAACAATAGGGCATTATTCCCTTAGGGAAAAGAAACAGGAAAACAGAGAATCCTGCAAGAAGCCATCAGGGTAGAAACCTAACAAGAGCTATCTGAACACAATGGCTGGGGATAGCAAAATATTTAATTTCTCCTTTTATTATGGATGACAATTACAGGGGAGAGTGGTGTTGATGAATGGGTGCAGC